TAAAGACAGGAGCCCCCACCCTTACTTGCGCAAGATGCTAGGGATAAAGAGGGTTGCACAATTAATTTATTAGTTTTAAAAAATTTAAAATATAATTTAATTTTTAAAAAACAAAACTGTTTAGGAATTAATTGGAAGGAAACTAATTGGACAAGACATTAATGTTGACATATTTAATGAATCTAGAAAAATAAATAATATATGCTGGAAAAAACAAATCATGTACAAAAAAAATTATTCTGTAATTAATTATCCAAACCAAATTCTGAGTCCGAATGTGTTATTACACAACCTATATATTGCTTAGGTCATCTCTCTTATAGAAAACTTTGGTACCCTATGACCTCCATGTTTATATGAAGTGTGGAAAGGAAGGCAAGTCAACGGTTGCCTTCCTGATGATTTCACAGCCATTTTCGACCTCCAATCATCGATTTCGTTTTGCAATTTTCCTTGGTTGAGGTCCATAACTGACATTTATGTTATTTAATATTTTGATTGTTTTTTTATATTAGGTCGAAAAAAAGGTTTTAGGGAAACATCAGTAGTGGCACGTTATCAATCATTTGTCGTATTATTATCTCTATTTTGCATATCTTGCAAATAAATATTAATAATATATTGGCATACACTTTATAGTAGGTTAATAAAAATTAATAAAAATAAAAAAATATATAAAAAATATGAAAAAAATGTCTTGGATTTGATAGTCAAACTAGATCCAAGAACATTAGTTCTCACTGTAATTCCAAACCAAATAGCTTTAGAATCTAATAGCATTGGGTCTAATTGCCGAATTAGACTTATTGAAAGAAAATTTATATCCAACTATCTAGTTAGACCTAATAAAATCAAATTCAGTTGCCTAGTTAAACCTAATAGTTTTTATAAAAAAAACTTGGATCTGGCTACCTAGTCAGCCAAATTCAACAGTGTTAGGTCTGGCTGGGGGTATAATGAAATTTATAAAATTCTTTAATTCCACAGAAATAATTTATTTTATTTGACTGATGGAGACAACAAATAATTAGTTTTAATAAATTAATATAAATTTTAGAACTAGTACTAATACTAAATTATAAAAGAAAAGAACTTGATATTGTTTTCCTTTATTATAGTAAAGATCAATTCTTGGTTGAAATAGTTTTGAAATGAGATCCATTTACCCCTCCTATTAAATTAAGTAGTACAACCTTCTCTTAAATTAAAAACATGATTTTTGATTGCTCTATTGATAAAAAAATTCTATTACTGGATGGAAAATAGAGAACTAACTAACCATCAATCCTTAGATTTCTAGTCAGCTATTAATAAAGGAATCTTCTGGTCGGTTAGGTTAAACAAAGAAGATAACTATTATTAGGGTTTATTTGTAAAAGTTAGTTTTGAAAGTTAGATCTAACAATTTTTAGAAGAAAACATGGATTTGGTTGCGGAACCAAAAACATTGTGCATAAAATATGTAAATAAATTTATTACAATGTAAATTACATTATAAATATAAAATATTTGCATGGTGGATAACATTGTAATACCATAGAAGGCGTTACTTTTCTTGTAAAAGCTACCGAGTCATGCTCAGTAACTGGACCAATTTTACTGGGTTTAGCTACCAAACGTGATCCAATAGTTTTTAAAATCAAAAATAAAAAAAATAACATTCTTAGTATTATAGTGTCGTTTATGGTATATATATTCTATATTTACAGTGTGATTTATACTGCAATAAATTTATATACACAATACCTATATACACAATACCTTTACAATTTTAATGTATAGTATAATTATTGAAACAACGGCTATAACCGGAAGTTGTTATTTCTATCCATATGAAAAGCCATG